CCCGAGGCAATCTGGGACGATATTACTATGGATTTCATAGAAGGGTTACCGAGTTCTAATGGATTTAACGGTGTTATGGTCGTGGTAGATCGACTCACAAAGTATGCTCACATTATACCCATCACCCATCCTTATACTGCAAAGTCAATTTCCAGGCTATTTGTGGAGTACGTGATGAAACTGCATGGGGCACCACGATCTATCGTCTCTGATCGAGACCGGATCTTTATGAGCAGCTTTTGGTCTGAATTTTTTAAGTTGCCAGGGACCAAGTTATCTATGAGCTCAGCCTACCACCCACAGACGGACGGACAAACCGAGGTAACCAACCGGATTCTCGAGCAGTACTTAAGGTGCTATGTCCATCAATTTCCAAAGAGGTGGGAAAACTTTTTGCCTTGGGCTGAGTATTGGTACAATACCACTTATCTATGGATTTCATAGAAGGGTTACCGAGTTCTAATGGATTTAACGGTGTTATGGTCGTGGTAGATCGACTCACAAAGTATGCTCACTTTATACCTATCACCCATCCTTATACTTCAAAGTCAATTGCCAGGCTATTTGTGGAGTACGTGATGAAACTGCATGGGGCACCACGATCTATCGTCTCTGATCGAGACCGAATCTTTATGAGCAGCTTTTGGTCTGAATTTTTTAAGTTGCCAGGGACCAAGTTATCTATGAGCTTAGCCTACCACCCACAGACGGACGGACAAACCGAGGTAACCAACCGGAATCTCGAGCAGTACTTAAGGTGCTATGTCCATCAATTTCACAAGAGGTGGGAAAACTTTTTACCTTGGGCTGAGTATTGGTACAACACCACTTATCATGAGTCAACCAAGATGACGCCGTTTGAGCTGGTATACGGGCGTAAACCCCCCACGTTGATCAACTATTCGGAAGGAAGTACAGTCAATGATGAGGTTGGTCGAGAACTCGAGGAACAGGATCTGATGTTGCGAGAATTAAAGAGAAACCTCGAGGGCTCCATTAACCGCACCAAAGCCTTCGCTGATGGAAAAAGGCGTGAGGAAAATTTTGTACCAGAAGAATATGTTTATCTGAAGCTACGACCTTTATGACAGCGCACAACAGCACAAAGGGCAGCAACTAAGCTGGGAGTTCGCTATTACGGTCCTTATCAAGTTCTGAAGCGCATTGGTCAGGTAGCTTATCGCCTAGAACTGCCGGAAAGTACACAGATCCACCCGGTTATCCACGTCTCGCAACTCAAGAGAAGCTTAGGAGAAGCACAGAAGTATTGTGAGGATTTACCAGCAACTGCAACCGATGGTAGGGTCATTGTGCGTCCAAAACAAGCGATTGAGTATCGCAAGGTAAGAAAAGCAGGGCACTATCGATGGGAAGTACTAGTTGATTGGGAAGAGTTGCCACCCGAAGAAGCCACCAGAGAAGATCTTGATGAGATGCGCGAATAGTTCCCGAATTTCATCCTTGAGGATAAGGAAGCACTTGAAGGGGACGGGAATGATGCGGAAGTGGCTAGGCAACTCAAGAACGCCGCAAGTCGCGCCTATCACACACGTAAGAGGCTAGCACGGGAGACGGCTGAGATGCGCACTATCGAGGGAAATGCACCAAGGGCGTGCGAGGATGACCAGCGTGAAGGCACGGGC